AACACCTATGTTACTTATTGCACCAGCTAACAACTATATCATCTCTCACAATCGATATCGTTATTAAATTCATCAAGTGATAAACAAGAAATTGAATTTAATTAAGCACACAATAAATAATTAATACACGTAAAATTGGCTTGAAATTTTTGAATTAAATTTACATTAATAACTCAAGCTACATTGTTGATCCTAACAATTAAATAATTAGCCGCTCATAATTTTAAAATTCAACAAATAAAATAAAAGGAACATCATTGGTTTCAAATACAAAGACTAATGAGAGAAGAAATTCAAGTTATTGTTGTTTTTTGTCACAAGAATCCAAACAATGTTTCTTCAACTTCTTCCTTGATTATTATAGATCTCCCGAGAAATGGATCGCAAATTATTTGCAGTCCTTCAATTAGGTTGAAAGTGGTGTCTCACAAAGTTTCAAAATCGGAGTTTGAGTCGAATTAGAAAATCAAACTTCTGGTCCCAAAATAGCCATATGATCACACTTGCGATTGCATAGGCTTCCATATGTAGCTTCTGGAATTGAAATATGCTGCTGTGTGATCGCTTCATAAGAGACCCTTGAGGTCACAAGATTCAATATCTTTCCATTCCCTTGAAGTTTGGTTCTCCAATTCCATTTCTTGTTCAACCCAAATCCTCCAATAAGCCCCTCTAGAATTGATACATTGGTCCTCGAAATCCATAATTAATCCGACTGCAATAATAATAATAATAATAATAATAATAATAATAATAATAATAATTATTATTATTATTATTATTATTATTATTATTATTATTATTATTTTTTTTTTTTAAATACCAAAACTCATTCATTTTCATAGTTTCTTGTCTAATACCAAGTTTTCTCCTAAAATAGTTGCCGAACATGCAAAATTAAGTATCTACACAATAAATCGCACCCAGATGCTCATTTTTGATGACTTGAATAAGTACAAAATCACACTTATCATATATAATATTATAAGAATAACGATGTGTAAATTATAATCTTCGTAATTTATTAAATGCAGCGTTTTCCAAATTTTACTGTAAAAAATTACACGAATTATAACTTCCTAAAAAAATTACACGCATTAAAAAATTACATAAAATGTGATTACTAAATTTTTCTTCCAACGCCAATTTAGGTTGAAATTTTGAGATATTTACCCAAAACCAATATTCAATTCATCCTCCTAGTTTGCCCAATTTGTCTAATTACCCCTCATTTCAATTCCTTTAATAAAGTTTAACCCATTCAAAAATCATGAATAATGCTAACTAGTATCATTGGTGCTAGAATACAAGTTTAGGTGATATTATGTAATAGGATCAATGAAAGGTATAATGAAACAACTCATTTAATTATACTTCTCATTTATTGGCAAATTGTTGCCACCTAAATTGGCGCTTTAACACTAGTGTTACTAAATAAAATTAGTCACATTACATGAGCCTGACTAGGCTTGCCTTGCCTTGATCCACATTGGGGTGAGCCGAAAGAGGCAAAGGAGAAATGTAACGAACAAAACTTTGCCCCCGCGAACCATAAAAGCCAATCCAGTAGGTAGGGAATCCATGACATCTCTTCATGTAGTTAATTAGATTCTATCGAAGATATTTACTTTTTCTTTTAATAATATAATCCAGGAGAAAAATAATTACTAAAGCATCTCAAATACATTTTATGAATTGACATCTAAGTAGCATGTAAATGGAAAGAGTTCCGATCCACGTAATATTGATATCTAATGAATACACGATAAAATTCAAATTTCATATCTAATGAGATATATCTAAAATTCAATTTCAGAAAGAGAAAAAGTAAGGTATAAGAGAGAGAATGAGAGAGAAACTAGAAGTGCCTCTATATCTAGACAGAATTGTCTTCACAATTACTAATTTTTTCTTGTCACGTCAACTAAAAATAATCCTACGTATGTTTGGTCTGAAAGAATTTTTGTAAATGTTGTCTATAGCTTAAGTGACTACTTTCTAAATGCAATCTACATTGGAATTGGAGATGTTCTTAGAAAGAGATATCATATGCATAACGAGTACTTTTAACAAAATTCCAATAGGGCATTATACTTGATGTGTTTCAATTGGGCTACTGAACTTTAGTTTAGTTTCATTTGGGTAATTAAACTTCGATTTGGCTTAAAATTTATAACTCTGTCACTGACCATCTCCCAAATCGATGAAAATTACCTAGCCTCCATTTTGAAGAATTATAAATTGTGAGTCTATTGAAATGTGGTTTGGCCTTTCATATATAAAAGTTGAACCTTAACCTTGAGGGTCCCCACCCCCCGCTCTAGAGATTTGTGAGGGAGGTAAATTACGGGATGTATCTCAGCAAATCAGGGAATAAGAGCTGTCTGTACATTGTTGGCCTTTCATATATGATTTACAAATTTTGCCAAATGGAGGTTTAATAAAGACCCATGCTGCAATAGATCTTCCATGTAATCTATGTAAGGAATGCCAATATACCACTATGTCAAGTCACTTCATCAAACGGTTAAAATAATAAACGTACACATCTTTTAACATTTTAATCTAAACATACTGTCATAACTCTCTTTTATCACTTTCATTTGTAGGGTGCCACGTAGAGATAATAGTTTAGAACTTAATTAAGATTTCTCTAAAGTTTAGTACCTAGGAAAAAGGCTCTTCAACAATCACAAATATTGGTTGCTAAAGATATTTAGTGGCCAAAGATATGTGGGCACTTGATGGTCGATTATGCAGCAACCAAAATGTGGTCGGTAAAAAGTCATGATTTGATAGATTTCCATTAGTTCAATGGTTTGGATAACATCGTCAGGTTGATTTGGGTTGCACAGTATGCAATCCGATAAAATATTTTACAACACTACATTTTTCTTTATTAACAACATCAACAACAATAATTACACTGATAATATTCTATTTTCATATTTTAAAGAACAAAGGATAAAAAAAATAAGATATCATCATTGAATGTTTATATATTGACAATGAAGTTAATTTTTTTGTATTTTTATGTAGTTATTCTACCTTTCCTCTCCCAACTATCCAAGACATTATTTTTAGCAATGAGATTGTGAAGTTCAAAAACAAAATATGTTAAAACTGAAATTTCCTTTGGTTATTCTACATATTCAAATATCTCATTGACAACAACTTTTTATTTTTATGCATGAAATGTTGGGCATAAGGAAAGTCATCAGATTGCTATTGATATGGACATGATCATTAAGTTAATTGTTATCCTATCTGTGTAGCATACGCAATGAATTTAAAATGCCTTAAAAGAGTTAGTTACGTCCTATCACCTCACCGAAAAATTTAAAATGTAATTTTGACACGTCTCTTTTCGCCATATCAAATCTATTACTTGTCACAATCCTATTATATACATGACAAATTTTCATAAATATATGATAAGATTTTTTTTTAGGATATTTCCCTGTTCTCGTACAATATTAAATATTGCATCATCTATAAGTTTAAAGTCTTCATACAATCCAATGGAGCTGTAGTAGACCTTTAGCAGGACGCATGGTCTAGCTACCTCAAGACCTCGTCGATCGTATACATATGATGTTAGGCGTTCGACATTAAGCCCTTGTTTGAGCCCCATTATTTGAAAAAAATACATTTTTAAACAGTGTTTTGACATCATTTTAATAATAAATTCTTCAATAAAATAATATTATACGCAAATCCAAAACTTTTTCATATTTTTTAACTGTACATTTTCCATCAATACACTATTCAAAAATTCAATCTTATGAAAATAATGGGGCTCAAACAAGGGCTAATTCGTATAATATTGGACATTAATGCTATGTAATTGTTATTTTGTTAGATGAAAATCGTAAATTTTTATTTTTCCCCATATTTAATAATATATACACTCGATAATTCTTCAAAAAATAAGCTTCGAAAAATGAATAATTTCATTTCCATTATTTTTGTACTGCATTTGGAAAGAATATCTGGTGGAACATTGCAAGAAAACAACCACATACAGTGCATGTGTCTTTCTATATGCTTGTGCAGGAATGGCAATAATGTACTGGGCCATTACAGCAAAGCAAAGCCAACAGATATACTATTTCAATAACTTCATAAAGACGCTTAAACAAATCCAGAAAATAATTTCCTTAACTGAAAAAACACACTCACTCTTTGTAACTTTTCATGTTGATCAATCAAGAACAGACCATTTATTGACGGTCCCGATTTGTAGATTGGTATTACAAGTGTGGTAAGGCCATGGGCCACCCACACCCACCACCATGACTATGGCTGCAGTTATCTTATTTAAGACAGAGAAGGTCCACAGGTACTGAATAAATTTATACTACTTTTACAGCTAGGGCTCCTGAGAGCCACCTGGAAAGGTTGAAAAATAAAAAATATGGATAGTAGAAATTATATTTAATACTACATTATCTATGAAGTGTAGCCTTTTCTCAATTTTGTGGAATCTTTCACAGTTAATGTAGTACTAAGATATTAATAATATTAGAGCAGTGTAGAATTAGAAAATCAAAATGAGCATTGTGTATAGCTTGCTCTATATATATATGCTGAGAATCTAAACACACACATAGACAGGGGAGCTTGTTCATGTCTACTACATAACAAGGTAGTTCAATATAGTGTAAGAGCAGATAAAAAATCTGTGTATCAAGTCTCATCACAACGCATTTTATTGTACACGTGTATATATGAGAAGGTCCGTGTTAAGACATTCTAAGTAAACAAGTTTGTCTTGTGCATAACAATCAAGACTATCTAATATCAATTCTAATTGAGCAAGTAACCTTCGAAAATGCATTTTACATGCAAATCATCTTTAGTTCCTTGAACCCAAAGCATACATGACTGGCAAGTTTTTGAAAGATCAGAATACAATAATTAGGAATATAATCAATGTCATTATGTTCTTCGTATAATATCTATCATATGATTAATCCAATAATTAGGAGATCTATGCAAATGGCAATCGATTGCATTTTATATATTCCTCACAAAACCCTAAAGGACAAGCATTAAAATGTAAATAGCTAGATAAAACTCGAAATTCAAGCAATTTAATATATAAAACAAAGATATTTTCAGCTCACCTATAATTCAAATATATATGGATTCCCTATTAGAGTAAACAGTGAAAATTAGAAAAGGGCATAAATCATACACTTAGTGAATCCAATTCATAAGTGTTGTAATGTGTTAATCATGACCCTCTGCACCATGGCCAGTCGCCTAACTCTCGGAACCTCCGGGCCTAAATCCATTGAGCGTCGCTAGTATGCTTAAATGTCCATCCACCACTGTCCCTCCGCCGCCACTGCCGCTGCCACCACCATTTCCCATACCCAAATGCTGCCCTGGTAAAAGTGCCAAAGGTGTAGGAAAATTCATAAAATGTATTCCACCACTAGGCATTGAACTTCCCCTATACGTAGTACTAGAGTTTCCAGTAGCTGGAAATGACCATAAAGAATCACCACTCGTCACTTGGCTACTAGGATTCGTCACCATAAGAAATGTCTGCGGCGGAATCTGACCATGGCTCGCCGGAATCAGCCCGGTACTCGACTGTAACATGTGAGTTTGAACTGCCTGTTCTTGCTTTGCTTGTATCATAGAACTCACACTTATATTCCCATCAGGGCAATTCAATGGATTATTCTCAGATGACGATAATCCAAATTCAGAAAACGAAACTCTCTTCTGTGAATCTTCAATACTACTCCTCAAGCTCTGTTTAAAATAATTATTCCTCAAATGTAATGGCGCTGACATGGTGGAGCCAGAATTTCTAACCGATAAGTTTAGTGAACTGAAATTAGCCGGGATGGTTCCTGTACCCGTGGCGGCAAACACTGCTGGCTCCGCCTGCTGGAGCAGCCACTCGATGGTTTCACCATCCGTTTTGTGGCCTAATTCTTTAGTAAGCTGGAAAACCCTAGCAGCACATATTGCCGGCATACGGATCCGGCGACCCCGGCCGTCAACCTTGGTGTGCCTATCCTTGGTTGAGTTTCTTTTTGACTGAGGCTTCTTTTGTGCTTCCAAATTACCTGAATCTGAAGGAAAAGTTGAGCTGGAACTAGCTTCTGCCGGATTTCTTTTCTGTAGTAATTCAAAGGGGAAATTTGGGCTTCGCATAGAATTATTACTTCCACTATCCATGATCATACAGTAATATACACTTATGGGCTAGGTCAGTACATATGTGGTGTACCTATCTGTAAATGACCCTCAACTCAGTCCCTTTGTGGCTCTTTCTTCTCTCTCTCTATATATATATTATGTATATAGTGTGTGTGTTTGTGTGTAACTATATATCTATCTGTCTCTGTCTCTCTCTAAGCTGGTAGCCTGAAGTTCCTATCATATTTTTTAGGAAGAGAAAGAGAGGATGAGGAAGAGTGATTGAAAGCTTTAAGCAAGAAACACAATGAGTGGGAATTATAAGCGTGGTGGGCTAGGGTATGAAATGTTCCTTATGGGAAAATTTTGGTTCTCTTAGGGTAAAACTGTAAATTTACTTTTTGAATAATTTTTGGAAAAGGAACAAAAGAACTCTTGAGATTTTTGTACCTTTGATTTTTTGGAGCCTTTTGTTGACTATTTTCTTATTTTTCCTTTTTACTTAAAACCAGGCACGGCGGTGGGTGGGCATTCTATTAATATCGAAATGGAAAATACAAATTTGTGGAGTAGGTTCAGATTAAATGAGAAAAAATTAAAACTATCCCGTTTTAAGATAAATATAGTACAAGAAAGCAAAAACTTATATATTGTTCGACTTCCTCCCTGTCCTAGATTTCAAGAGTTTCGTAACATATTAGTATGAAGTTTAGGGCTGAACATGGTCTGGTTCGACTCGAATTTTTCTGGTATTTAATAAGTGGAACCATCGGTCCAAATTTAATTATGGAACCGTTCGAGTTCGATTCCAATTGATCCCAGATTTCGTATTATAATTAAATTTTTTTAATATTTACCAAGTTATATTAATTCAACTAAAGATATGTTCAATCTTGACTCTTATAAAATAACATAATCCAATCTCAAATATATTTTACGTTTCTCTTTGCTGAGTTTTTTTATAGATTTGATTGTTAAAATTACAGAAAGAGGAAGATAGCGAACTCAAAATAATTAAGAGAAATATTGTCGAGCTTCAATTCGATTTTTTCAGAACGGTAGAAATGACACTACGGCAAAATAACGAATTTGGATAAACTTGGTCAATTTGATTAAGTTAACTTTGAATTGAAAATAAGAAATAGGAAAATCATATTTTTTTGTTTGAACTAAATTAACTAGTTAACAAATTTATTTAGTAGAATAAAATAATTTGGCTTATTTAAGATAAGTTAATTTAAAAAATTATGGAGATTCGGTTCTTCGATTTTTGATACAAAATCAAAAATCGAGAATCGAACCAAACCCGTTGACTCTCGATTCAGATGCCCGTTCAGGTATTTAACTTAAGAAAAATCGCTCGATTTGATTCGATTCACTTCGGTTTGAGAGTTTTATCAACGAAGCTTTATCTAAATTAAGTTGGTTGAGTGAGAGTGCCCAAACTTAAATAGACTATAATATCTCCAAACTCATCGATCTCGTATTAATATATCCAAATGCATCATGTGCATAATCACTTGCTCGGGGATAGAAAGGTTGCACGCTAATTTGAACCGTATGTTGCTAATTGTGTTCGTGTTTCCTATGCTCCAACACGATGCATCAGTTGCTTGGTATCACATGGCTATTCCGTAGAGCGTAGAGGCAAGGACGGTCCTGTGATTTTTTGAGGTCGAGGCGAACTCCATAAATTAGGTCCCAAAATCAACGTAAATGCAAAATTCAACGATAAATTATGCAACATATTGCTAATTTAAAACTTAACCTAAAATAGAATTACAAAATATCTCAATCATCTCATAATTAAAATTTTTAATATAGTATATGTGTGCGCCTGGTCAATAAATAATAGCCGCAATTATATAAGCCAATAAGGATTCAACATTTCCAATATATTCAGTAACAAGTTAGGGAAAGCTGTTGCTTACCCGAGAAGTAGAATTTTGAACGAAAATTATGGGATCACACCTTTGAAAATTCTATCCACGATTCACAATCTAGAAATAAAAATTTAATATCAACCACCAATACAAATATACAATTCTATTGCATTAATCTATGCATCATAAATTCAGAATCCTATTGCAAATTGCAATTTCATCAGAAATCCTACGAAATCAAAAATGAAAATCCTATTTAACTATTTTCAAAAATCAGAAGTAGAAACCAAACCATAGATAAGATAATTCTAGAAATAGCACTAACAGACTTCAAGTTTCATTACACTTTGTAGAATCAAAATACTATGAAAAAAACTTAAGTTTGGATTGCCAATAAAATATTCAAACAAATCAAGAAAAATGCTCACCAAATGCAAATGATTCAATTGATATATTCCTATGGTGGCCGCAAATTCTTTTTACTGTGAAACAAATTCGCACTCAACATTGCGATTGTCACTTTGTATCACCATATATACATGTGTGTGTGTATATTCGATGACCCTTCAAAAACTCAAGATTAGATTTTTAACAAATGCCTCAAAACTAGTAAAACCCTATATTAATATCAACAACCACCAAAACTTATCTTTAATTCCTTCCAAAATCCAATCTTTAAAGCCAACTCACTTTCTTCTTCTCTGTAAAAGTTAATATAAACCCAACAATAAAGCTTAAACTTATGAAAACCCTCCAGAAAGATTTGAAGGGGAAGCAAAAAGATAAAACCCTTTGAGCAAAAGCAAAAATTAAGATGGTCTTATGGGATCGAAAATCTTGGGATGATGATTTGATTAACCAAAGTTAAAATATAGGTTTTACAAAATTCCAAAAGATATTTTTCCTGTAGGCTTCTATTAAGCTAAAATTTCCCCTAACTTCCTAGTTGTGTTTCTCTTGAAAGCATATCTGGAAATATCGCACGGTTGGGGTTGAAAGAAGGGCCGGCTTGTGTTTGTGATTTGTTCTCTAAGTTGTAATTTGTGAAAGAGTGAAGGAAAGGAAGAAGAAGAGAAGAAGTTGCCTAAGAAAATGAGGCCGTCATTTGGTCATTTGTTCGGTTGGAGTTGGAGGAGAAGCAGTCATGAGCCTCACGGCGTCAAGCGAAGACGGGGGTAAGGAATGAAAGTTAGAATTTCCATTTTCCTAATTTAATTTAAAAAAAAAAAAAGGAAATTGGGCAAAAAATGAGGGCCCCTCCCCCTCCCCGGAATTTTGGGCCTGTTCCGCGTCGCCTCAGAACTGGCCATGCGTCGAGGTTTCACATGCCTAATCAGCCAATACATGTTTTATGCAATTCTGATAACGAAAACACACAATTTTGGCAAAGTATGCAGAAGATTGAAATTTGTTAAAGCGAACATGGAATTTACACGAACTATCCCAACATTACTTCTAAACCAAAATAAAGAAATACGTTACAAAGACATGAAAGGACCAACATGGACTTATTGTCTAATTCGAACTCTTACAATTTTCCTTTCTATTCTACAAAGTTCAAAACACTTGGAAAAATAAATAGGCATTCCTAGATTGCACTTTACATCTCAAACTGATAGGAAGAGTTTGATAGTTTTTCAACCCTATTGATCTGAAATTGTCCCAACATTTAAACAGTAAGAAAAATATCTGTAACCATCATCACACACGTTCCTCATGTCTAAAGTTACACTAAATTTGTGGACTAAAGTCAGTTGGACATCAAGGTTATAATCCCATCGATTAATGTCAAATCTGACATGTGTCCCCAAATTCTATCATGCAATGTTGCTATCAACTAAATCTAGAATCATCATGCTTTGATAACTGTCACATCACAAAACCAACCTAATGTCTTGCTTCATTTCTTCCTGAATCTATGCATTGTTCGAACATTCTGCACGCCTTCGGTCATAACATGACATCGATTAAAACATCACCATGCTATTACCATTTTCTCGATAAGGGTCTTCACAGAGCTTTCATATCAAAAGAACTCAATGTCCTCATCAAAACCCACAAAATGTCGCTTTATTTTTGTAACAGACACCAAAGAATCCTCGTAGTTTTCTTGACTTCACATTCGTTCGTTGCCCAAATGTTGAGTGATTAGTCCAACCCGCTTCATGTATCCTCACATGAAATTTCCATGAGACTCTCACCTTTCCCTCAATTCGGAACACTCCACGTCCCGCATTTTCACAAGTTACGAAACACTCTGCGTCCCAACAGTCACCACTGTTTGCTAATACATCCAGGAACATTCGCCACCGAATATCTGCAATGCAATAGCAAAGTTCACATTTTGTTACTCTGCAACAATATGCAACAAATTCACATGAGCCAACTTTAATTTGTCCATGTCTATTTATCCAATATCATTGCTGTTGAGTAGTAAACTTGATTTTTGGACTAAATAATATGGGCTTAAAGATTTTGCTTATAGGCCCAAATCAATTAAAAGGCCCAACATGCCTTTCTAGAAACATTATCTAGAAAAATCTATATAAATATCTAAGTAAGATATGTGGTCTTATAAAGAATATCTAGAGAATTCTAGAAAAATATCTTGATGTGTGGTCTAGGTGTCTCTAAAAAATGTGTAGACTAGAATCTTCATGTAAACACTATATAAAGGGGTAGTGCACTCCATTTTGTAACAAGCTGAAAAGTGTGTAAAGTCTTGAAATTTAGAAATATAAGTTTCCTTTTGTTCACTTCCTTCTTCCTATTAGTGTTGTCTTCCTTAAAAGTCTTAGACAATCCAAGTTAGTTAGCCCTCCCATCTTTCTTTCAACAAACTGGTATCAGAGCTCTAAGGTTCTTATGAAAAATGACAAGTGGGATGATTCCTTTTCAAGTTCCCCAACTCAACAAGGATAACTACAACAATTGAAGCATAAGGATGAAAAGGTTGTTCGGGTCGCAAGATGCATGGGAGATCGTATAGAAAGGCTACACAGAGCCACAAGACGAGATCGCTCTATCCCAAGCACAAAGGGATAGTTTGAAGGATGCAAGGAAGAAGGACAAGAAGGCGCTCACCCTCATCTATCAAGCCTTAGATGCAGGCATGTTTGAGAAAGTAACTTGTGCTACTACAAGTAAGAAAACATGGGAGATCTTACAAAACTCCCACAAAGGAGTTGAGAAGGTGAAAAAGGTTCAACTCCAAACACTTCGAGGTGAGTTTGAAGCTTTACATATGAAAGAATTGGAATCAATTTCTGATTACTTCTATAGAGTATTGGTTATTTTGAATCAATTAAAAAGGAATGGAGAAAAGTTGAACGATACTCGAGTAATTGAGAAGATACTTAGTTCTTTAGATTCTAAATTTTACTACATAATTGTAGCCATTGAGGAATCTAAAGATCTAGATA